CTTGACTCAGCCTCGCCCCTGCTCATGTCAACGAGCGTCCCAACTGTAGCCAAGCGTGCAGAGGGAGCAGCCAGGGTCGGTATGCCAGTGGGGTTTGCTGCAGGCGCGTCTTCTTGTTTCAGTGGTTTGCCGTGTTCATATCTGCAGCGGTCCCCATAGATACAGTAGCCTCGCTGGAAGTATTTGCACACAATACCGTAGGGACTGTCAGAGAGGTCGTGTGAGTAGCGGCAGTTCTCACCTTCCTTAAAAACCTTGATCTTGGGTCGTTGTGGGCGCCTGGGACGCAGAAATCATGACTTTACTGAACATGGTCCGTGACCACTGGGTTCATGTGCTTGTTCCTATAGGATTTTTGATTGGATGTTATCTAGACAGAAGAGATGACGAAAAACTAACTGCCTTCCGCAACAAGAGTATGTTATATAAAAGAGAATTGAGAGACAATGAAGAAGTCACTTGGAAGTAAAGGCTGTGGCTGAATTATAAAATGTTTCTTAAATTGTGAGAAAAAGAAATTACTTTTATTATTTGAAAAAAAAACAAAAAACAAACAAAAAAAAAACCCCGTGCATGAAATACCTGCAGGTGACCTGTTTGGTCCAGCCGCCGCTGCCGCCGTCGGTGCCGCCTCCACGGCCTCCAGCCCCCAGGGCCGGCGAGGTGACGGCGGGGATAGGGATGGGGGAGGCCGCTGCCGCCGCCGCTGCCACTCCTGCTCCAGATGTTGTGGCTGTTGTTCTGGGAGCTGCAGCCTCCGCCATTACTGTTTATCCCACACTATCCTTACCCATCTTAATATCCACTATCTGTTAACTAACATTTACTTCTCTCTCCCTTTTGACTGTTCTCTGTAACTATACAACAATGACTCTGTGATCTTACCAATATCTGTCCTTTGTGACTGACTTAACTGAGATGCATCCAAATTAGGCAGTATTTATAAATGTTTTTATTTTCGAATATACAAAGGCATATGACTGTGTGGGTCATAAAAAATTATGGCTAACACTGAGAAAAATGGGAATCTAAGAATACTTCATGTGTTCAACATCAATCAAAAGCCTGTTGTCTGAACACAGGAGCACGACATGGCTTAGAATCAGAAAGGGTTATATCCTCTCTCCACATCTATTCAATCTGTATGCTGAGCAAATTCAAGAAGCTGGACTTCATGAAGAGGAAGGTGGCATCAGGATTGGAGGAAGACTCAACAATCTGTGAAATGCAGATGCCACAACCTTGCTTGCGGAAACTGAGGAGGACCTGAAGCTCTTGCTACAGAAAAAGTCAAGGACTGTAGTCTTCAATATGGATAGAAGCTCAACATTAAGAAAACAAAATTCTGTGCTCACTTTGGCAGCACATATACTAAAACTGAAGGATACAGAGAAAGACTGGCATAGCCCCCGCACAAAGATGATATGTAACTTCGTGAAGTGTTCCATATTTAAATAAAACAACAAAAAAAACCACCCACAAAATTCCTCATCACTTGTGGTACCAAGAGTTTATTGTTCAAAACAGCTTTTCTAAGCCTTAACTATGCCACACAGAGAGGTGGGTCATACAAACAGGGTGGTACTCTCTCCACAAAGTGACTGGTAGTCTCTCCATTAAACTGGGTGAATTTGGCAGTAGCAGTATTTGGTAATCTCACCACCAGCAAAGCAGCAGCCGAGAATGCAGTGTCTGTCCTTCAGGCCCAGAGATTCCTGCACTACTCATACCAGGGCCTCCAGAAGCAGCAGCCACAGTGAAGAAACTGAACTGCAACAGAACTGATCCAAGACTGCTGACCCCCAGACCCAGAGCTTGTCTGAGGACAGAGGGTGAGATGCCCTCACTGGCAGGACTGAGAGCTTTCGAACCCTGACCTAAAGCCACAGGCTGAAGGGCCTGCACTTGAGGCAGTCCTGACAGAGAAACTGTATCCTGCGGCCAAGCTGAGTTGTAGCCTGGTAACTTCCCTAATAAACCTTGTAACTCTGAACAGGTTTTTGTGTGGTCTGTGTAGCTACTGTAACAGATTTGGAGCCCACAGGGCAGTAGGACTGGTGTTGGGATTGGGAGGAAGTGGTGCAGGAGCACGGGGGCATGTCTGACCTCATGGGAACTGGTTTTGTAGATGCTGTTAGTGGGGGCAGTTCCTCCTCGTGGAGTTAGATCAGATATGGCTGTCCTCACAAAGTCCGTTCTCTTCTTACACCTCACAATAGCCAACATCACGACAGATGAAGACCAAAGTTGTCAAGCGCTTCATTTTACCCGGGTCCACAATCAACACGCATGTTAATAGCAGTCAGGAAGTCAAAAGTCATGTTGCATTGGCAAGATGTGCTGTCAAGGACCTCTGTGAAGTACTAGAACACAAGAATTTCAGCTTAAAGACTAAGGTGTCCCTGATCCTAGGCATGTTTTGTCAATTATTCCTATGCCTGTGAAAGTTTAGCCATGAATAAGGACAAGAGAGGAATCAATGCCTTTAACTGTGGTGCTGAAGAGTCCTGACTATGCCACGGACTGCCAAAAGAACGTATTTGTCTTGGAAACAGCGCAACCAGGATGTTCCTTACCGGTAAGACTGGTGAAACTGTCTCATATGTTTTGGCCAACACTGTTGTTTCCTAGTTCTAGGAAAAACATGATGTTGGGAAAAGTGTAGGGTCAGAAAGAGAGGAAGACTCTCAAGATGGACAGACGCAGGGACTGTCCAACAACGCTGAGTGTTTAGAGATGGTGCAGGTGGGTGAGGACAGGGCAGTGCTCACCTCTGCTACTCACAGGGAGCTATGATTGTGCTCCACTCAGCAGCAACTGACAACTAGTATTTGAAGTGTTGCATAACATCCCGTTGGCACAGGTACCTAATTTGTCCACTAGCCCTCTGGACTAATTATTTTAGTGCATCTTTGCTGTTCTCCCTCCTTTTTGTTCCAGACAGGAAGAGACCAGTAATTGCACTTTAGGGAGCTGCCTGCAAGACCCTAACCCTTCTCAGCACAGGACGGAGAGCACCGTCTCTGTGGACTGTGATATACCAAGTGACCTCGCTGTTAACAAGCTGCCCTGCCCACCATCAGGGTAGAGATCTGGCTTCCTTTTCTCTTGCACTGAGAGGAAAGTGACGGCTCAGCTTAACGAATCCCAAGAGGCCAGAGCATGAGGGGTAGTGCTGCAGTCACGTTCTGCAGAGGACGCTGCCTCTGGGGGAAGGTGGTGGGCCCTGGAGCCTCAGCTGCTGGTGGCTGAGAGCTCCAGGTGGAGCAGGGGAGCCGCTGAGCTCCCAATCCACCTGCCTTCCATACAACCGACACCATGGATGGGGGTGTGGCAGTGCCATATATACCCAGAAGCACCCTGTGTCACTAGGTCCAGCCACTGGGTCTGACCTCAAGCATGTGTCTCCACCCAGGTCCCCTCCAACTCTGGTATCAGGGTGCCTGGGTCCCTCCTTGAGGCTGCAGTGAACAAGTAAGACGGGAGTTACTGACTGCCCAGTGTGGACAGGGCCATCCCTGTCAGACAATGTGGCACAGAGGGGTTGGGGACCGGTATCCTATAGATGTTATGGCATCTGCATGTAGAACAATGGTCTCCTGGGTCCGGACTGAGGCTGGTGCGACCTCAGGGAAGTCTTCCACGATAAGTCTCCAATATCTGACCCTTCATGTCTCACCCTTCAGTTCTAGACCTTTCTCTGTCCAACTTTCTACATAGGGTTCTTCACACATTAACTCTGCTCTGCTGGACTCTTCTGTACCTGATCCCCCTATGCTGGGCCCATCATGCTTGACCACTGCAAATCCAAGCCGGCCCCTCCATGGCCTCCCAGTACTGGGCCCATCATCCTGACCCCTGCAGATCCAATCCTCCCATGCTGGCCTCTCCCTGACCCCCTGTGCTGGGCCCTCCCATGTGGGCCCCTCTGTCCTTTCTTCTTTCCAGCTCAGTACCTGACCACTGACAGACCCACAGGTACCACCTCCCTGCTCAACAATGAGAAGAAAACATCTCTAATGCTGCTTGGCTAAACTGCACCTTTGATTTTCAGGGGTAAACCCAGTATTCCTGAGGCACTCTCCTCAGGAAGTGATGTCACCATTCTCTCAGGTGCTCAGACCTGCAGTGATGCTGGTCACCCCGCTGTCTCCCCACCCCTCTTCTGATGAGGCATGTCCTCATACCTGAGCCCCTGCCTGGGGCCCTGGCCACCATTCACACCCTCAGGACCTTTAGGGCCACCATTGGCCCCTTGCATCCCAAGATCCTGGCTGCATTTCATGATGCTTCAAGACAACTGGCTTTTCCATTGTTACTTTTCCTGCAGCCCACCCTGACCATCCGCGGGCTTCCCTTCCCCCGCGCTCTTGTCACCTGCAAATTGTGCTTTTCATTCGCTCAGAGTCCACTGTCCAGCTCCACTGGGCGGGACTGTGCCCGAGTTCCCTATGTCCCAGTGCTCAGTGGGGTGAAAGTACAGGGTGGCCCATGTCCTCAGGGAGGGATGCACGTCCACATGGGAGGCTGCCATTAGTGAGGATCCCTTTTCCTAGGTCGGCTCTGGTGCTTTTGCCCAGTTAAGAATAGATAGGGAGAAGAGTCTATTCCTGGCTGGACTCAGTGGAGGGACCAGGGGCCGCCCCGATGTTCCCAAGGCAGCCATCCAGCATGGCGCCCTCAGGCTTTGCTCACAGCGCTCAGCAGGCCCTCTGGGGTCAGACCGCCAAGGGACAGGGTCAGCGACCGGGACTCGAACCCCGGCTAGCAACCGGGAACATGCCCAGCTTCTCCAGCAGCCGGATGGAGAGCGCATGCGCCCACCAGTCGAGCCCCTTGCCTTGCTCCTTCCGGTTGCGCGTACGCCCGTGTACGTCCTGCTAGCGCAGGCGCCGTAGTGGGCACCCCGCACGCGCACGTCGAGCGCTCGCCTCCGCTTTGCTGGGGCCGCGTCTGCGCACGCGCACACGTCTGCGTGCAGCCCCGCCCGCGCCCCGGACATGGCGGCGGAGCGCCTTCCCAGTCGGCCGGCCTGCCTCCTGGTGGCCAGCGGCGCAGCCGAAGGTGAGGTCCGAGCAGGGACCAGGCAGTGCTTGGGCTGAGCCACGGGGCGTGGAAGTCGGGGCCCGAGCTTGGGGGACGCAACTAGGAGGCCCGGTCATAGCCCCGCCCCCTGTAGAGTGCTGGCTGTCCCTGGACCGCAGGGCTCAGGGACACAGGGCTCAGGGTCCAGGGCGCAGAGCTCGGGGCCCGGGGATGCAGGATTTGGAGCCCACAGGCTCAGGGGCACCAAACTTGGGTGCTGGGGCTCGGGGACCAGAGGCACAGGGTTCCAGGATTTGGACTTGGAGCTGGGACTTGGGGGCACGAAGCTCATATTTTTCAGGTGTGCATCGCAGAGCTCGGGGGCCGGAGCTGGGGATCTCCAGGCTTGGCTATGCATGCACTTGGGCTCAGGTGCTATGACGTGGGGGTGCCAGGAGTGGGCCTTGTCCAGCCCCGCAGCTGTTCTGAGAGCGTTGTGGGAACAGGCAGAGGGTGCGAGGCAAGGGAGGGCAGGTGGTGGCAAGCACTGGGTGGCAGGCGGGGATACTGAAGCTGCCTCGTGTGCTGTTTGGAAGTGAGGGATGTCAAGCTGTGAAGGTGGTTCTCGCCCCCACCCCTGTCTTGCAGACCACATGTGAAGTTCCAGGTTCCCTGTCCTTGTCTTTGCACTGCTGGAGGGGATAGGAGCCCTGAATGTTGGCCCCAAAGCACACCTGGAGTTTGGGGCTAGGCTCTGCCAAAGCCCACGGGTGGCCTGGGTGGGCGCCTGGAGTGCTGGTTGGTTTAGAGGAGGAGCAGAGTATAGAATTAGGAGGGGCTTTGATGTCCAGGCCATGTGTGGATCAGACTGCTTCCACAGTGGTGGCTACTGCAGGCCAGGCAGAAGGGCACAGGGACTCGGGGCATGAGGTGGGTGGAATCTGGGAGGGATGCTGACATGGTCCAGCATGGTGAGGGAGGGGCTAGGACACACCCACAGCCCTGCTGATTTGTCATCCTCACCCCCATCGCCTGGGCCCCCAGCCTTGCTGATAGTTTGTCCCCCCCAGATCACCCTGGCTTCCATCACACTTTGTTCCTTCCACATCCTCCCCGAGCCAGGCAGAGTTGTGGGGCCTGGGGGGAAGGTGCTAGCTGAGCTCAGACCCCCAGATGGCCTCTGGCTGAGTGGAAGGGAGTGGACACTGCAAGGGTGCTGGGGAGGGAGCCCAGCTGCAAGGGCTCACTGCTGTGCCATCGGGTCTGTGCACCTCGGCCTCTCCTGACTGGACACTGCGGGGACTGGGGTCTCTGGGTAGAGGGGTGAGCTATGTCCATGGTCACCTTCATCCACAGGTGTGTCTGCTCCGTCCTTCCTGCACTGCTTCACGCTGACCAGTGCTGCCTTCAACCTGCAGGTAGCCACCCCAGGGGTAAGTTCAGATGTCCCCACCCAGAATCTGGGGCCCTCACTGCCTTTGCCCCCTGGGGCCTGTGACTCCACATGGGGCCCTGGTCCTTCTGTACAGGGTAATCTTTGATCCTCCCTGTGAGGAGAGGCACCTGCTTGTGAGACCAGAAATGGGAAGCATGCCTGGCATACCCTTGGAGGTAGGGGCTGTGAGGGGGCCCTGCTTGGGCGACCCTCCAGGGTTGTGCCCTCCCCATGGAGTTCGTGTCCACCTGGTCTGGACTGTGCCCACAGGGGAAGGCCATGGACTTCGTGGACGTGGACGAGGGCAGTGCCCGCTGGGTCCAGGACTTCCGTCTCAGGTCCTATTCCAGCCCCGCCAAGCTCGAGTCCATTGATGGTGAGACCCCTGGAGGCAGATGGCCACAGGGCCCCTCAGCCCCGGCCAGCATCTCAGGAGCTTCTTTCTGGGGGGTGGGGTGGAAACGTGGGGCCCAGAAACATCAGCCCTTCCTGCCATCAGACCCAGACTGTGCTCTCTGTAGGTGCCCGGTACCATGCCCTCCTCATCCCCAGCTGCCCTGGGGCGCTGGTTGACCTGGCCAGCAGTGGGTCCCTGGCCCGTATCCTGCAGCACTTCCGTTCTGAGAGCAGTAAGTGACCCAGGATGGAAAGTTGTGAGAGCTAGTGGAGAGGCTGGGCTCAACTTGGGCCAGGCCCAAGCAAGGATCCAGGCTCTGGGCTAGGGGCTGTGGGTGACCCCCCCACCCCAGCACTGTGGGGAGTAGATGGCTCCGTAACATGAATTTGTGGCCCCAGCACTGGGTCTTTGGTCATGCTGGCTGTGTTCTTGGGTGTGGCTGGCCCTGGTCCCCATGGGGGAGTGTGGCTGGGGGGTTGGCTTGTGTCCAGGGTCAGGCTGCAGAGGGGCCACTCCACAGGGAGTTGGCTGTGACTGTGCATCTTCTGGTCCTGGCCAGTGCACCCAGGATCCTTTGTCCCGGGCTTTGGCCGTGGGAATGTGCAGCTCCAGCAGTGTCCCCGAGGCTGATGACTGTGCGGGGGTAGTGGCTGGGTGCTGTCCTTTCTGAGGTGGTAACGTGTCTCTGCAGCACTCTGGGTGGAATTTGGGGTCCCATGGCAAGGTGCTGGACCACAGTGGGAATGGTCTCTGGTGCCCCAGCATGTCCTCTAGTGTCACTGGTTTGGTGACCCTCATGACCCTGCTCCCCACTTGAGGAGACTGACCCGAGCCAGAGCAGGTTCTGCAGAGGGCCCGTGTCTAGCACTGTTCAGAGCCGAGCTCGGGGTAGGGGCCAGGCAAAGCCTAGCTGTGACCTCGCTTTCAGAACCCATCTGTGCTGTGGGCCATGGCGTCGCTGGCCTCTGCTGTGCCACCAGTGAGGATGGGGCTTGGGCTTTCCAGGACTACAGCATGACTGGGGTGAGTACTGCCTGGATACTGACTGGCCCCCTGGAATGGTGTGCCCTCAGACAGACCCGTGGACCTAGAATGCTGACCATCCCCACTTGGGGTTGGGTGCCCTCAGACAGGCCCCTTGTGCAGGTCATGGCACTGACTGATGTGACGTGCTTGCCCTGGGTGGCTGGCCTCACTCATGAGCAGGCCAGTCTGGGGTGTCAGGTGGGTCCAGCGACTCAGAGCTGCTTGCGTCCATCCCCGCAGCCCTCGGTGTATGAGCTGGTCCGAGTGCCTGGCTTTGCGCGGCTGCCCCTGGTGGTGGAGGACTTTGTCAAGGAAGCAGGTGCCAGCTTCAGTGGTGAGCTGGGGGCCCCAAGAGCAGGCAGCTGGGGCTTTGAGCCGAGCTGGCACTGGGCTGTGCTGGCTGTCCTGCTGGGCGTGAAGGGGTGGATGGATGCTGAGTGGGTCTGTGGGCAGCCCCGCCTGACCTCTGCTCTTGGCCCCACAGCCAGTGAGCCGGATGCAGTCCACGTGGTGCTGGACCGCCATCTGGTCACCGGGCAGAACGCCGGCTCCACCGTGCCCGCAGTGCAGAACCTGCTGTTCCTCTGTGGGAGCCGGTGAGTCAGGGGTGGGTCAGCGGGTGTCAGCCGAGGGGCTGCCTCAGCCAGCGAGGCCTTAGTGAAGGTACCTTAGCTGTGACCAAGTGTCTGCCCTGCAGGAAATGAGGACCACACGGGGCAGCCACTGGTGGCAGGAGGTGGGCCTGCAGTACTGCCCTCCCTTGGCTTCTGGCATCCTGTGGGACCTCTGATGACCATGAGCTGACACGGATTCCTGCCAGCCAAGACCCTTGGGCCCTTTCCTGCTCATGTTTGCAGCCTGGACCCTATGGAGCTGCCCTGGCTTCTGGGCAGGTTGGACTTGAATGTCTAGTGGGGGGCTCAGCAGGGGTTCTTGTGGGGTAACTTTTGAGACAGGGAGACCAGTGCTGGCCCTGTGGGATTGTCCTTGTCCATGCCACCTTGAGCAGCACTGTGACCCCTGGCACAGTGGGCCTGTCGCCATGGTGTGCTATGTCCATCCTGAGGTTAGTTGCTGACTATCCTTTTGATCTAAAGACCAATATGACCACGGGTGGCAGAATGGTGGCACGAGGACTTACTTCCTGGGGGGTAGGGGGGCAAGTTCTAGGGCCACACTGTATCCCCAGACGCCTCCAATTCCGCTGACAGGGAAGCTGCTAGAGAAGTGGCATGGTGCTTCCTGCACGGGATGTTAAAGGGTGCCCAGCATGGCAGGGCTCAGCGGCCAGCGCTGGTCACAGTCTGTACTGGGGAACCTGCTGTGGTGTTCAGCCACCAGGCTTAGCAGGGCGGCAGCCTTTCCTGACTACCTGGGTCACCTGTGCTGGGTGCACCTGACCTCACATGGACAGGACTCAATTTATCAAAAGGCGTGGTCTTCTCAGGTGGCGTCCTGGGTGGGGACCCTCCCCAAGGTTTACGTGAGCCCCAGGTTTGGCCTGTAGCCAGGCACCAGGTGGGCCTTCCCTGGTGTCCAGTGGGCAGACAGCAGTATCCACTTCACAGCCCTGTGTCTGAGGCCGTCTCTCACAGCCTGTTGGTACAGGTTGGCCAAGTCCAAATACAGCTTTGGGGGCCCAGGTCCCACAGCCCTGTGTTGAAGGACCATGTTTCCTTTCTGCAGCTTCCTGGAAAACCTGGGCAGTTCTGGGGAAAGGGGACCAGAGCCCGTGGCAGGCTATGTGCAGAGACCAGCCCTGTACCTACCCTAAAGGTCGGTCCCACATGCCACCACTCCAGTGCTGCCTGGGGCTTATGGACACCCACAGCAGACAGTGGTCATCAGGTGGGCGTGGACCTAGGTAGACCCAAAAGGCTTCAGATCCCAGAAATTGGGGGTGGGGAGGAAGCCAAGAAGGTGTGACCAGGGAGTTTTGCTGAACTGCTGGACCTTGCACAGGCTTAAGGCCACCGCACAGGTGCTCATGGACACCTGAGCCAGTGTTGGGGAAGGCCAAGTGTCATTTCTCTGAGCTGGGGTCCTCCTGTGAGCAGTCATCAGCTGCTGCCTCAGAACTATCCCCAGAGGTCCCAAGAGCTGACCCAATGTCCACAGAAGTGGAACCTGAACAGGGCCCTGACCTGGGGCAGCCAGGACTCCCCATGCTCCTCTAGAGTCCAGTGTCCATGTAGTACCTCCTAAAGGTTGGAGAGAAAGGCTGCCCAGTGCAGGGGCTCCTGGAGAGCTGGCTGTGCTTCCACCCATCCGCAGGACATGCAGGGCCTTGTTTATGACTCCCAGGTCTCCACCTGGCCAGTCTTCACCCCACAAGATGGCCTGTTCACACCTCTGACCAGTGAGGCTCATCCAGCTTAGCCACTCAGTGGGAGCCCAGTGGACACTGACCTCAAAGGGGCCAGGGCAGAAATGAAACACATCACAGGAAAGTGGCAGTTTTAATGCACTGGGCAAATTTTACATAAAAATCAGGAGTCATTGATTCACTCTGCTCTGATCTGTGAAAACATGAGCTAGCTGGGTGAGCACGCAGGTACGTGAGCTTGCCGGGTGAGCTCGCAGGTCTGTGTCCTGTTCTACTTCCCGTTCTCAGCACTGAACATACGTTCCTAAGGAGGAGGGGGCAGGGGAGTGTGATGGGAGCAGAGGCATGGGGGCCCCCACCACTCCCTCCACCCCAGCCCCCACACGCACCTCGAGTACACGCTCTAGCTTCCGTGAGTCCGCAGCAAACTTGCGGATTCCGTCCGAGAGCTTCTCCACGGCCATCTGGTCCTCGTTGTGCAGCCAGCGGAAGGCCTTCTCATCCAGGTGTACCTGCTCCAGGTCACTGGCCTGGGCTGGGGCCAACACAGGGTTCATCTTCCTGGCCTCTGCCCCCTCCCCGCCTGACCGCGCCCCACTCTGGGCACTCACCTGACTTGGCTGAGAGTGTGGGCACCAGCTTGCTGGTGTCCTTGAGCAGCTCGCCCAGCAGCTTTGGGGAGATGGTGAGGAAGTCACAGCCCGCCAGCGCCTTGATCTCGCCGGTGTTGCGGAAGGAGGCGCCCATCACAATGGTCTTGTAGCCAAACTTCTTGTAGTAGTTGTAGATCTTAGTGACACTCTGCACCCCTGAGGGACACATGCAGGACACAGCAGTCAGCAGGTGTTGAGCCTCGCCCCCACCCATGCCCCCTGGACAGCAGCCCACCCGGGTCCTCCAGGGGCTCGAAGGTCTTCTTGTCAGTGTTTGCCACATGCCAGTCGAGGATTCGGCCCACGAAGGGGGAGATGAGCGTCACCCCTGCCTCGGCGCAGGCCACGGCCTGGGCGAAGGAGAAGAGCAGTGTCATGTTGCAATGCACGCCATGCTGTTCCTCCAGCTCCCTGCAGGCAGTGGGGGGGGGGGGTGGTCAGGGGCGGCCCGCCCTGTTTTTCTGAAAGACTGACCTGGAGACTCCACTCATGACCACTGGGTCTACCAGCTGTCCGGATGCACTGCAGCCCCTGTGCCTCGATGAGGCCATGGACACAGAGTCCACCCTGCATGCCAACTCAGGCTTACAGGATCACACTTGCCTGTAGCCCCCTGATCCCAGTCCCTCAGTCTAGGAGACCCCAACAGCCCGTGCATGGGGAACACGTACTTCCCAGCCTGGATTCCTTCCCACGTGGACGAAAGCTTGATGAGGATCCGGTCCTTGCTGATGCCAGCTTCCTTATAGAGCTCGATGAGGCGCCGGGCACGAGCCACCATGGCGTCCTTGTCGAAGGAGAGTCTACAAAATGGGCACGTGAGGAGGGCCTCCACCACAGGCCCCACCTGTCCCCAAGGACTCTGTCTAGGAAGGGAGACTCCACCCCAGGATCCTTTCTCCCAGAACCCTGTTCCCAGGAGCAACTAGCTCAGGAACACAGGACAGGGCAAAACCGATGCCAGCAGACTTATCAGCAGCGCCACTCCACAGATGGAGCCCCACACCAGCAACTGCTGGGGCAAGGAGGCCCAGGAGCACCTGCTGGTTGGGCTTCTGGAGTCTGTCTGGGAACAGTGCACAGTAGCCCGTGTACCTGGCATCCACTTCTGTGGACACACGCCCTGGAATTTTCTTTAGGATCTCTGCTCCAAACAACACAAACAGCTTGTCGACAGCATTTGTTACCTGTTCCTCTTGGGACCTGAAAAGCAGGGGAGCCCCACCAAGTGAGTTTGTCAAATTGGCCTTGCCTGCCCCTCACTCCTGCCCACCAGCCTCCAGCAGGGCCACCCAAACAGGCCCTCGGTGGACAGCAACTAAAGGGTCCTGGTCAGCCTGCAGGTACCTTTCCCTGTCCCCATGTCCCAGAATTTCCCAATTCAGGGTTCCAGATGAGAAAACAGGTGACAGTTAGGCCTGATAGCAGCTGGTCATCATCCTCTGGGGCTTAGACACTACCAGGTGCAGGGAGCTAGGTGGAAGAGGGGTGGAGGGTGCAGGGTGCAGGCTGCAGGCTACTGCCCTAGGCCTCGCTCTGGAAGACTGAATGTGCCACAAGGCCAGAGCTCTGGGAAGAGGCAGGTCATGGAGGCCAGGCCACGGATGTCAGAAGGGCTAGGTCCTAGACTCCCTACCCCGTGAAGGGACATGTCTTAGATGATCTCCAGTCCCCCAGGAGGAGACATGTCCTGGAATCATGTCCTTTCCACAGGTGACAGGTCCTAGACAACTCCCAGAACTGGATCTTCTAGGCAACAAATTCTAGACTTAGAGGTGGTGCACCCTAGCCAGAGGTGGTGGCTGCCCACGAGTGACTAGACAAGAGCAGATAAGCATTTGGCTACTAAGCAAATTAGTGGTTCAAATGCCCCAGCTGCCCTGTGGGTAGATGGGCAGGCCTGCAGAGCTCACAGCTAGCAAACCGGGCCATGGGTGGGTCACAGCAGGGAAGGGCCCACAGGCCAAGCACTGCAGAGGTAGATCAAGGGCAAATACACATCAGGTGCAGTGGGCACTGTGCTTCACATGAGCAGAGACATCGTACCTCCCGCCACTGAAGCCACGTGAAGACAAACCAGCCAGGCTTGGTGCCAGCACACACCCCTCACTCAGGGATGGCCCCAGTCACTCACCCTCCCAGCTTCTTCCCATAGGCCATGGCTTCCTCCACCAGGTCCTGGTAGGTGGGCATCTGAGCTGCGGCGAGGATCAGGGAGGGGTTTGTGGTGGCATCTTGGGGTTTGTACTCCTCAATGGCTGCAGAGCAAGCGTGAGCAGAGGTGAGTGGGGACATCAGCAGTGGCCAGCAGTAGAATTCTGGCCAGCTATTCGGGAGATCGGGTTTGAGTTCCAGCTAGGGCACTGCATGTGAGCAGAGCTCTTGTGGCCCTGAACAGGCTTCTGTGGAGCGTCCAGGGCAGGATGGACTAGGAAGGCCTGTTGACCTACTTTCAAAACTAGCCCATGAAAATGCACACAGTGAGGATGGAGCAGGGCCTGGCGTGGGGTCACTACGGCCGACGTGAGTCCTCCCCAACCAAGCCTAGTGGGAAACTGCCTGCCCCAGACAAGCTGACAGAAGAAAGGGACCCTCAGGACTGAGGAGCACAGGAGGTGGCCATGTCAGACGAGCCCTCCTCTTCACACACATTAGGTCTTTCAGTAGTTAAGTGCTTACCTTAGACACACCAGGGCCTCCCTGTCAGGCATCCAGGCAGGTCTACAAACCCCTAATAAGATCCGTGCTAGGCTGATGGCTTGCCCACTGAGTTTATCTGGCAAATGACTATTTTCAAAGCATACTTTGATGACCCAGCCAGAGATGGAGCCGTGTGACTCAAGGCAGTGGGCAGGACTCAGGACAGCTCAGGGGGCTCTGTGGTGTCAGTCCACCTGTCTCAACCTGAGGTGAGGTGGCTGTAGGTGTACACCCACCTGGCACAGGTGCCTCAAGCTAAAGTGCAGGTGCCAGACGGAGCATTTGGCTGGTGTGGCCTCTGCTCTCTGCAGGCCCGGCCCTGGCCTCTCTGGCTGTTCGTCACACATCTGTCCCCACCAGAGGAGAAAGGGCAGGTCCAGGAGTTGGGGGGTTAATTCTTAACTTCCTCTGAGTCTCTAGTTACTTCACAATAACAGGCTATGAAGAGGCTCTGGCAGGATTTATACAGGTGTACATGCCTATTCAACCACCAAGCAGCTTATGGGAAATGTGTCCATTTGATAGTACCAAGCTGGACTCAAAGGTGGCTGTTTAAAAACTGGGGTTGTCAGTATGGCGCTTTCTCAAAAAGTTGCAAATAGAGATACCATTTGACCCAGCAATTCCACTACTGGGAATATACCCTGAAGAGACCATAGCTGACATCCAAGCAGATATATGCACACCCATGTTTATTGCAGCTTTGTTCACAATAGCAAGGAGTTGGAAACAACCTAAGTGCCCATCAACAAATGAATGGCTAGAGAAGCTGTGGTATATTCGCACAATGGAATACTGTGCTACATTAAAAAACAAGGAACTCATGCAATATTATTCAAAATGGTTGACTCTGGAGAACATTATGCTGAGTGAAATATCCCAGTCACAAAAGGACAAATATTACATGATGCCACTGTTGTAGAATGGGACTGTCGTTGGGGTTGGGGAGAGAATGAGTAAGATGGGTTCAATAATGTATACTGCACTGAAACAGAGGTGGGAGAAAACTGTTTAAAAGAGATATATAACTAGGTATTTCTGTCATCACAGGAGACTAGAGCGAGGGCTACATGGTGGAGGGGACCTGGGGGAGGGTTTGTAAAACAATGAAAGAATCTTTTCTTTTACTTTTCCATAATTTTTGACTCATGTACTTATAACTTGTTAGTCAAATTTTGTGTCTTCTAGGTTTTAACACCCCCATGATACATCTTCAAGGATATGAACATGTACGGCCAAGCACAATCAATAAGAGTGCATCTAAATTCCAAAATCAATCTCCATAATAGTCTATGTGTTTCCTACTGCCAAAGGGGCCCTTTAGAGTAGTGAGAGAAGATCTTCACCCTGAAACCCACAGCGTCCCTTTTCAGCAGGAAGTAGCTAAGAGAATACGCCGTCCCCTTTTCCTTATGACTCAGGGTGAAGTCTCTCTCAGGGAGGAGTGATAGGGAATGGCAAAGGACACACTGACAAAGAAGATTAATCAGAACTGGCTTTGCCAAGCACTGTGGCATTTGGACAAGAACAAACTGGGAGGAGGGTAGAGAGAATAGTGCAACAATGAATGAATGAATGGAAACCCAAAATCTCTGTAAATGTTTATGAAAATTAATAAAATATAATTATAGAAAAAAAAAACTGGGGTTGTACTGCACTTAACTGATGCAAAACCTGTGGGCTGAGGGAGGGCAGCTATTCTGTGAGGCGTGTCACACACTGCCACACGCAGTCACTATATGCTGGACCAAACTCCAGACCAATGACCACTCAGTCCCCAGAAAAACGTACACAGCTTTTAGCAATCCCAGAAGGGCTGAGCAACCTTCACAAAATGCAGATGAGAAACAGAAATACAAAGCTAGACGCCAGCACCATCACAACTACACAAACTGAAGACCGGAAGCGCTTGCTGCAGAAGGTCAAGGACTGCAGTCTTCAATATGGATTGAAACTCAGCATCAAGAAAAAGATTCTCACCACTGGGCCAACTGACAGCACCATGATGGAGAAGAAACTGAGGTTAACAATTACAGCTTCCTTGGTTCCACAATCAATATTCTTGGCACCAGCAGTCAGGATATCAAAAGACGAATTACATTGGGAAAGTCAGCTGTCAGGGACCTTTCCAGAGTGCTAAAAAAGCAACGATGTCAGTCTAGAAACTAAAGTGTGCCGAACTAATCCAGGCCATAGTCTTCATAATTACTTGCTATGCATCAGAGAGCTGGACAACGACTAAGAATGACAGGAGAATTGATGCCTTCAAATTGTGGTGCTGGAGAAGAGTCATCAACATAACCATGGACTGTCAAGAAAACAAGTCTGTCCTTGCAGGCTAGGATACTGAAGCTCCATCTCACATACTATGGGGCATGTGGCCAGGAAGGACTGACCAGTCGTTGGAGAAGGACATCATGCTTGGAAGGGTAAAGGAACAGTGAAGGAGGAAGACCCGGGATGAGATGGGTTGATACAGTAACTGGGGCGATGTGGGTTGGTGTGTCAGAATTAGACTGCTCAGGACAGGGCAGGGTTCAGAGCTGCTGTAACCAGGGTGGCAGGCAACTCAGTGGTACATAAAAACAGCCACATCCCACAAAGGGATAGGCTTTTCATAAAGTTGTTTGGTGTCAGAGATTGACTCATAGTGACCCTGTGAACAAAAGACCTGAGCACTGTTCACAGGGGTTCTGGAGGCAAGCCATTTTGGAAGTGGGTGCCACTCCAGCTTCCAAGCTTGTTTTAATCAGGAAGCTCCACCAAACACTGTCTACCATGGGTAACCATTTTTCATTAAGTTGTTAAAATTAATTTTTTTTAAAGTTAATACTTGGGTCTACAGGCACCTAAAAAGCACAACCAAATTGCTGGGTCAGTCCCAGGTAGTTGTGGGGCTCACTGCTGGCCAGGGAAACCCCCTGCTTGGTGGTCCCCACTGAGCACTTGTGAGTGCCAGGAGCCCTGGGCTGCTCTCCCTGTTACCCCCCCCCCCATGGCTCTGGACTCTGTCACAGAAATGCCACCATGCAGGTGTGTCCCGCAGGCCTTGGCAGGTGTGACAGCCTGTCTGAAAGGCTTCAGGTATGCACTGTATAAGCCTTACTTAAGCAGCCAGATATGCTTATTCATCCTTGTTGGATAGATAAACAATCCTTTGACTTGGTTACCAAAGAGGAACTACATTTCTTAAGTCACCATGAGAAAGCAGAACAGAGGAAGGCACAGGCAGAAGGGGTGTGGCCCTGGCTTCTGCCTCCAGGAAGGAATGTGTGCAAGGTGGCCCTGTACATGTCCACAGCTAAATCACTCACCAGACTCCCCAGGCCTCAAGTCACAGTTTACTGTGCTGCCTGGCATTTCAAACGCAGGGAAAATGAACTGCTAGGGAGCTCTGGTGGTCTAGTGTGTAAGGACCTGCACTACCAACCCAAAGGCAAGTGGTTGAAATCCAGCCTGACCTACTGGAGGGTCAGCTCCAATTAAAAAGCCACGCCTGTTAGCTCTCTGATAGCAAAGCCCTCAGCCTACGTCCCTGCGGGGCTGGTTCTGTGTACTTGGTGAGGAAGGTGCGGGACAGGGCAAGGCTGCAGTTATTCACCGGGTGGCACCCCAAACCAGCCCTGATGAGAGCTGCCCGTGCAGGCCACCACGGCCCACTGGGCAGAGGAAGCAAGTGTGCAAGAGGTCTCAAAAGCAGATGGTGAAAGCGTAGTTTGCAATGTGGCTGTAAGGACATCATCTGCCATTCACGGTGGCGGTGAGGGGGAAAGGGCACAGGCGGGTTTAGGGGAAGTCAGGGTGGTGCAATCACCCTGGCAGCAAATGTGGCAAAAATGCAAATGAGTTCTTACCTCTATACACAAGGAAAGAAAAAAAAACAAACTCTTCCCCTCCCCCCGTGGAGTTGAAATGACCCATAGCTGACCCTCCAGCAGGCTTCCGGAGGCCGTCAACTGCACATGGGGGGTTTGCCCTTCTTTCTCCAGTGGAGGAGCTGGGGGATTCGAACCCTCAGAGATGCCACCTTGGGGTTACACACCACTCCCCATGGTCTCTGTGTGCAGCTGCTGAGAGCCTTCGGGTGGAGCAGACCCATGGCTGACCCTTGCCCGGGTTTTCAGAGACCACCCACCCTTGTCCACAGAGCGGAGGTGGGTTCAAACCTCCAACCTCCGACTGACAGCGTGGCTTCTTGCCACTAAGCCACCAGAGCTCTTAAAACAAAGGTAACTGGTGCACAACAACCCGGGAGGGCTGCTGGCCAGTGGAGGATGGGCAATCTCCGTGAGATGACAGGCTGCCCGAGGACCAGCTACAGGTCAGTTCTGACAGCACGCACACCGCCACCAGCACCACCACCAGCTCCACCACCCGCACAGCTGCCACCACCAGCTCCACCACTACCAGCACCAGAACCAGCTCCAGAACCAGCTCCACC